ATATGAGGAAATGTAAACTACAACAAAACCCACTGTAGAATCTTGTGAGTTGGTGTGAAAAGCAGAAACACTAAACACTATCCACTGTTAACGTCAGAGCACAGTTTATTTAAACTCATGTCCACAGACATGCAGTCTTGGGCCCTGGAAGTGGAAAAAACTCCACTCATCTACGCCCAGCAAAGTACAATACATTTGTAACCTAAGCACAAACACTGCAGATTGTGTCTTATATACTTGAACTTGCTAACACACAATACAAACACCTTCTGTTGAGAGTGCTTGAAGAAATTAACACTCATTCAGAAACGCCTTTAGCACTACTTAGAACAAAGGGCAAAGCTGCAGCCTCTTGTGGTGGAAAATGAGTGTTACAAACACACACACCCACACAAACACACACAAAAACATGCACAGAACTGCTTCACAGACTTAAATATACATAACTTAAGGAAAAAAATATCAGCAAAAACTTTTAGCACATTTTCACAAACAGTGACTGTTCACTGAAAACTCACCACTTATGACTTTCCATTGTCAAAAGCACTCAACACAGTCACTCACACACACAAATAATTAAATAACTCATTTCTGAAATGTCAGTAAGCCTGCAGAGCAAGCGCTGCTGCATAGTCACAGACAGGTGGAACGTACTTTAGAAGCACACACAAAATATACTTTATACTCATCATCGGTGCACGACCTCAGCACCCAAACAAGCAAACACCTGCATCAACAGGCCTCACTCAGAATACAGACTCACTCATCTGTGTAAACATGTCTTCCCCTCAAAAAGACCCACAATCACTCCCACCATGGCAAAAACACCACATTTCGCAACCACTGATACACACGGCGACACAAATGTTGCTCTGGGATTCTCTCTGTTGGCCTATTTACAGGCGGAGCAAAGGCCTCATCTGCATGTAGTGACCTTCCAAGCGCGCCTCTAGAGATCTGCACTGTTTGCATTTCAGCTGAGAGGCCTGCTTACCACAAGATATGCATTTTTGTTTCTGAGTACAGTTCCCTCTCAGTAATTTTATGTATTATTGTGAGGTAAGATATTTAAGAAAGTGTAAGAATTGTTGAGATCCTTGTGCATCATTTTTCTTGTTTGTTTGTTTTGTTTTCTATATTGGTGAATAGGCTGAGTAAAAAAAAAATACTTTGTTAGTTTGATAGAAGACAGAAAAGGAAATTTTAAAGTCCTTCTGACTTTTAGATGCATAGTTAAATTATCAATGCTGCAGTTGTGTCAGTGAGGTGGACTGGGAACACAGTCGAGAGGATGGAGGTCACATTGTGCAACTATTTCATTATTTACCTGGGAACTCAAGACTATGAAGCACCTGCACCTCTGCATAGCACTGATGACGAGAGCTGTGGAGGAGGAGAACGATGTAGTGCTACATTTCTGAAGCCCTCACTGTTAGCTTTTAGCTAGCGTCTCACTGTGAGCAAAACCAAGAAGCTTCTTCCGATTAAAGGATGGAGGCGGGGCTACAAATATCAACTCGATATGCAATGATATTTATGCATTTAGGGGTAAATTTGCTGTAGGCTGCATACATCTAAACCTGGGATGTCAAACTAATTGTACATCGAGGGCCACATACAACACAATTTGATCGTAAGTGGGCCACTCCACTTTCTGTCAGTGAAAAGACGTTTAACTATACATTTAATCTCTGAAATATATTCATGTAAGATTAAAAAGGGAAATTTCAAAAGCACATCTTGTTTTTTATTTACATGATAAATATGTAAAATTATAAAAAAAAAAGCAAAAAAAAACTTTCTGGTAGTTCATAGTATAAAAAAAAGCTTTTGTCTTTTTTTTTTCTTCTGAAATTTAATAGTAGAAAAACTGAAACGTTTTGTTATTTAAATGTTCATCTATTACTTAACTGCTTCAGTGTAGTGTGAGTGACTGTGGGGACGTCTTTATCAGCATGAAAGGTGTCAAATTTATTCTTTTGAAAATACAGTTTATAGTATAAAACTTTATGCCCCCATGACAATTTCTAAAACTGACAGTCTAAGGAGTTACTTTTCTCATTATGTAATGCTGTAATATAA